TGACTCCAGAGGAAGCCAAATTTTCCTTACCCCTCTTTTCATCTGCTACAACTGCTTTTTATTTTTTTAACAGCTTTATTGAGCTATAATTTATATACCATGGAATTCATCCATTTTAAGTATACAATTCAGTGATTTTTAGTAAATTTACAGAGTTATGCAGTCATTACTGCCAGCCAGTTTTAGAACATTTCCATCACCCCTAGAAGATCACTCATGCTAGTTTGCAGTCAATCCCCATTTCCGCCCTCGCCCCAAACAACCATAAATCTTTCTGTCTCTATAGATTTGCCTTTTCTGGACATTTCATATAAAATCATTCATATAATAATGTAGTCTTTTGTGTCTGGCTTCTTTTATCTATTATAATATTTTTTAGGTTTATCCATTTGTTGCTTATATTAGTAGTTTATTACTTCTTGTTGCTGAAGAGTAAATAGTATTCCATTGTATGAATATACTACATTTTATTCATCCATTCAGCAGTTGATGAATATTTGAATTGTTTCCAATTTTTTTTGTATTTCTTTTTTTTATTGTGAAATTTTTCTTGTACATTATTGTTTGTCAGTTACCATATAAGTGCATCCCTCCACCCCTTGTGCCCACCCCCCAACCCCCATAGCCCCTGGTATTGAATTGTTTCCAATTTTTGACTATTATAAATAACACTGCTGTGAAAATTTGCATACAGGTCATTGTATGGACCTATGTTTTCATTTCATAAGGAGATTCCTAGGAGTGGAATGACTGGGTTGTATGGTAAAATTATGTTTAACTTTTGTTTTAAAGAAACTACCAAACTGTTTTCCAACGTGGCTGTACCATGCTTACATTTCCACAGCAATGTATGAGAGTTCCAGTTTCTCCACATCCTCACCAAAAGTTGTTATTGTCTGTCTCATAGTCATTGTAATAGGTGTGTAATGGTGTCTCATTGTGGTTTTAATTTGCATTTCCCTAATGACTGATGATGCTGAGCATTGTTTCATGTACTTATTAGCCATTCATATATCTTGTTTGGTAAGATATCTATTCAAATTTTTTTAATTGGGTTATTATCTCATTATTGAGGTATAGGAGTTCTTTACATAATTCTGGATACAAATCCTTTATCAGATATATGATTTTTAGATATTTCCCCCCGGTCTGTGATTTGTCTATTTTCTCAGTATTTTGAAGTACAAAAGTTTTTAATTTTGATGAAGTCTAATTTATCAATTTTTTCTTTTATGGATTGTGTTTTGGTGTCATATCTAGGAACCCTTTGCCTCACCCAAGGTCCTGAGGTTTTTTGTTTTCTTCTAAATATTTTATCAATTGCTTTTAGTTTTGAAAGACAATTCTAATTGCTTGTTTAACAACCTCCTGATATTAAATTCATTTTTAAGCAACATAAAGAAGTGTTTCTACTGTCCACAAAGTACTGTTAATCTTATCTTCTTTTTTTAGTCATCTAGAGCCCAGTTTTATATAAGTCCATCTTTCCAAAGGTAAATAGGTAACCAGTTTGTTGAACAGTTGGTCACAGAATAAAATAATTCCTCCTCCTTCCACTTCCCCATAGTATGTCAAGAAAATCCCTTTGTTGCCACGCCTAAGAGGATATTTCCTTTTGACCACTATGTCTGTGGTTCAAGTCACCTGACAATAGATTGTGCATAAGTTATAGCATTCTAGTCTGAACAACTGAACTTGAAAATGCATTTCCTTTCACTTTCCATCCACAAACCTCAAGGTATAGTCTTATTGTAGCTTTATTCTAATATCCCTCTGGATTTTTTACTAAGGTAGTTACCGAGAAATAAGAATTTTGTGACTGGCATCATCTTTTCTTTAAGGAGGACTATCTAAATTGTAAGCTCTATAAAATCAAGGCCCATGTCCAATGCAATTTTATTTCCCTCACTGTTCCTGGCATAGTGCTGAGTGGTTAGTAAGTGCTCAATAAATATTTTTTATTATATCTGTGTAATAAAAGTAAAAATGTTACATATTTTGATTATTATTAATGATGGCATAATGTGATTTGTATTCCACTATTTTTCCAAATCATCAAATGAATAGCCACTCGATTCAGATTGTTTTCTCCATTTGTCCTCAAATAATTCTCAGCATAAGCACTCTGATCTTGAGTTATTGTATTTGATGTTTTACAATAAATTAACTGACAAACGTTAGAGGTTGTTTATCAGAGTAGGAAGCCTTTCCTGTACCATGCCTTTCTGTTTTAGGAATTTTCTGTTAACCTTTTAGCCTTAAAAATCCTTTCAATAACTCAGGCCCCTATCCTCCTCTGCCTATGGAAGTCCACACCTTAATAAGAAAAGTAAAAAAGCTTAAGCATGTCTTTTTTTTAACTGTGGTAAGGTATACATAACAAAATTTACCATTTTAACCATTTTTAAGTGTATTCACTGTTGTACAACCATCACAGCCATTCATCTCCAGAACTTCTTTCATCTTCCCAAACTGAAACTCTATACCCGTTAAACAATATTTCCTCATTCCTTCTTCCCCCTAGTCTCTGGCAACCACCATTCTACTTTCTGTTTCTATGAATTTAACTATTCTGGGTACCTCATATAAGTGGAATCATATAGTATTTATCATTTTCTGACTGGTTTATTTCACTTGGCATAAGGTCTTCAAGGTTCGTCCATGTTGTAGCATGTGTCAGAATTTCCTACCTTTCAAAGGCTGAATAATATTCCATTATATGTATATACCGCATTTTGTTTATCCATTCATCCATTGATGGACACTTGGGTTGTTTCCACCTCTGCGTGTCTCTTGATAGAAGGGAAAAGAAGATGGTATTAGTGTATCCATCCACAAGCAGGTGATATGTAGAACCTGTGCTTCTGGTCCAGTGGGACCAGGTTGATTCTAGCCTAGTGCTTACATCAGATAGCATACTGTGGCATTTGTATAAAGAATGAGGCCTACCTCTGGAGGCCCTAAGTCAAGGCCAAGAGAATGACCTCACATTAGGGAAAAAATTATTTAATATAGGCCTTCCAGTTCACTGCCAAAAATTATGGAGCTTGGTACATAGTAGGTACTCTGTAAGTGTTTGAATGGATGCTTAAATACAGATGCACCACAGTTCAAAATTGCCAAAAACTGGAAACAGCCCAAATAGAATGGATAAACAAATTGTGGTGTATTCACACAATGGAATGCTTAGAGCAATAAAAATGAATGAACTACAGATATACACAAAAATAGGGACAAATCTTAGAGAAGCCACATATATAATAGAGTGCATACTGCATGATTCCATTTATAAAGTTCAAAAACAGACATAATTAAACTCCTATTTCTGTTTAAGGATGCATAGATAGCAACACTATTTTTTTTTTAAAGGCAAGGAAATGAATCCCCTCAAAGTCAGAATAGTGATCACCACTGGGAGGAGAAGAGGCTTATGATTAGGAAGGGCCATGTTAGGGGGAAGGAGGGAGGCTTCTGGGACACTGATAGTCTGTTTCTTGACTTGAATGGAGGTTTTGGGGATGTTCATTTTACAACAGTTTGTTAAGTTGTACATTTGTGTTTTACGCACCTTTCTATATGGTCATCATATTCCACAATAAAAGGTTTTTTAAGTTCTATGATTCTAGGGGAAAAAACTATATAAAAGATCATGTGACATAATCATATATATAGTATTTTAGCCCTTAGTTTGATTGATAAAATGAGAAAGATACCATTGACCCAGTTTGGAGAGTACCAGGAAAGTACTGTAGATTGTCTATATTAAGGTTTCCTTATTACTGAGTTCCTAATGTGGATTCCTGGGCTCTGTGGTTTGGGGAAATGGAAATCAGAAGAGGAGCAGCACTACGGAGAAACTCGTCAACATCTGCAATCCATTAAGGGCCTGATGCTTCATTAAAAGGCATTAAGCTCAGTGTCTCCCCAGTGTTATTCACTTCTTAGAAATTGTATTCATTTCCATCACAGCATGTTGTGTGAGAAGTGGGAAATAGGCAAATAGGACAGATCTTCCTCCCTGTAAGGGAAATCTCCGTAGCCCCTATTGATAGAACTACTCTCTTGAGCCATCATAGAAAGTAGAATTACAGATCAGCAAATCTTTGACCATCTGTTGTAAAGAATTTCTTCATTCACAGAATTTCATCAGATTAAAGTTTAGTAGCAAATTGCTTCATTCATAGCTTTTAAACTGAGGTAATGAACAGCTTCCCAAGTTCTTGGGTTCTGCTGAATTCTAACCCATTCCCCTGTATATCACTGACTTTGGTGATTCTTTAATTAGCTAAAGCCTCAAAAAGCTTAGTTGGCCTATGAATAGATTATTAAAATGGAAGTCCTGACCCTAATCCTACTTGTTAAGATGTAAGATCCTACTTGTATAACAAATCAAATGGCTACAGCTCATTTAGGAAGTGTCATAATAAATATTGTGACTAATTGGAGGGCACAGTTAGAAATATTTTCATTAAAGATATCTAGCCATCACTGTAAACCGCTTCGCGTCAATTTTTTTTATTGAGGTAATGTTAGTTTATAACATTATATAAATTTCAGGTGTACATCATTATATTTCGACTTCTGTATACACTATGTTGTGTTCACCACCAAAAGTCTAGTTGCCATCCATCACTGTACAAATGTGCTCCTTTACCCTTTTTGCCTTCCCCCCACCTCCTTCCCCTCTGTTAACCACAAATCTGTTCTCTGTGTCTATGTGTGTGTGTGTGTTTATCTTCCACATATGAGTGAAATCATATGGCCTTTGTCTTTATGTGAGGGGAAAGCAATTAGCCAGCTTGCCTTTCTCAGGATAAAATTCTAGAGTTTTGTTCCCCTGTTGTGTACAAATTTGACATATCTTGACTAATTTATTCAGTCTCTGCTCTAGACATAGCATACATTTCTGATTTATAGACATGAATAACTGTCTAGTTTTCTGCATTTTATGCTGCATTTAGTTACAGGTTCCTGTCTTACCTTGCTCTCTCTTCTTTCAGGGTCTGACATTTCAGGAAGTGGAAAACTTCTTTACTTTCCTAAAGAATATTAATGATGTGGACACTGCATTGAGCTTTTACCATATGGCTGGGGCATCTCTTGATAAAGGTAATGAAACCCAAAAGTTTTTTCTTAAAGGTATAAACATTGAATCTGTAATCTGTGAGGTGACTACCCCTCCTTAACAGTAATAAGTGAGGTTTTCTTGACATTGTTTTTTTATTTGTTTTGTTTTGTTGACATTGCATGAGCCTTGCATTTCACCCTGAGAGGGCAAGCTTGTGCTAAAGGCTATAGTCAAGGCAGATGCCATCTTTAAATGATTAGCCTTGGAAAATAGGCATCTAAGCTGAGGCACAGTGCATGAAACTTCAGAACTTCTCTCATTGGAGCCAGAGTCGTGACATATATAATGTGAAACTAAAGTCATTATGCGTTTCATTCTTTGGTGAGAAGGAATGGTTTGGTTTATTTTTTGTATCAACTTTTTTTTTTTAAGATAAAACTATGACTCTGAGAATAGTACCCTATTAGCTTACTTCGTATAAATTCAGTTCCAGTGTGTATAGGCAGTGTGAGAGAGCATAGGAATTGAAAACACAGTTTTTTCCTCCAACGTTTTATTATGAAAATTTTCAAACATTCAGAACAGTTGAAATAATTATTCAGAGAACATCCATATGTCCAGCTCAATTAACCTTTTGCTATATTTCCCTGGTAGTATATCTGTGCATATATTCACCCCTCTACCTATCAATCTCTCTTATTTTTGATGCATTCAAAGTAAGTTACAGGCATAAATGTACTTCACTCCTAAATACTTCAGCATGAACATTAACTGAAGTTCAATATTTGTTTAAAGTTCCCTTGTGCCCCTTCACAATCAATTTCTGCCCCCACTCACCAAGAGGCACACTTAATTCTGTATTTTTTCACCATAGATTAATTTTGTTTGTTCTAGAACCTGATACAAATGGAATTATACAATATACAGTCTTTCTAAAGTTTCTATCAGTGTGTTTTTGAGATCCATCTATGTTGTTGCATGTACAGTAGTTTGTTCCTTTTTTATGAAATGTAATCCATTATGTGAATACTCCGTAATTTGTTTATCCATTCTGCTGTTGGACACCTTGGCTGTTTCCAGTTGTTGGCTATCTTAAATAAAGCTGCTATGAACATTCTTGTATTCCTCTTTTTGAGGACATATATTTTCATTTCTCTTGAATTGCTGGGTCCAGAGGAAGGTGAGTTCATTTATAAAAGACTGTCAGACCCTTTTTCACAATGTGTCTTTTTATACTCCCAACAATTGGTGGTATCAGTCTTTTTTTTTTTTGGTGAGGGAGATTGGCCATGAGCTAATATCTGTGCTCATCTTCCACTATTTTTTATACGGGACGCTGCCGCAGCATGGCTCGATGAGCAGTGCGTAGGTCCACTCCTGGGTTCCGAACCTGTGAACTTCAGGCCACTGAAGCAGAGCACACAAACTTAACCACTACACCACCAGGCGGGGCCCCAGTCTTTTAATTTTAGTGATTCTAGAGTGTATATAAAGGTGTCTCATTGTGTTTTTAATTTGTAGTTCCCTGATGACTCCTGTTGAGCAGCTTTTTGTGTTCTTGTCATTCAGATATCTGTGGTGAAGTGTCCAAATCTTTTGCCCATTTTAATTAGGTTGCCCATTTAATTAGTTCTTGATATATTCTAGATACAAGTCCTATATCAGATATGTATTTCGTGAATATTTTCCTAGTCTCTGGCTTTCCTGTTCACTTTCTTAATTGTGTCTTTTGATTAACAGAATTTTTTTTATTTTGATAAAGTCTAATTTATCAAATTTTTATTTTCTGATGTAATTACTTTTATTACTTTCTGATCCTAATAAACCTTTATCTACTATCAAATTATGAAGATATTTTCCTATATTTTCTACTAGAAGCTTTAATGTTTTAGCCTTATATATCATGTACGATCCATCTCAAATTAATTTTTATATATGGTGTAAAGTTCAATATTTCTTTTTTTTCACATGGATATCAAGTTGTACCAGCACCATTTGTTGAAAAAGCCCTCCACTGGTTTGCTTTGGTTCTTTTATCAAAAATCCAATGACCTTTTAAATGGGGATCTATTTCTGAGCTCTCTATTCTGTTACTTTTATCTGCATGTCTGTCTTTATACCCATACTCACTGTCTTGATGACTGTAGCTTTATAGAAAGTCTTGAAGTATCAGGTATTATAAATCCTCCCAACTTGATTCTTCTTTTCCAAGGTTGCTTTAGATATTTTAGGTCCTTTGTAATGCCATATAAATTTTAGAATCAGCCTATCACTTTCTACGTAAAAAAGAGGTGGGATTATGATTACAACAACATAGAATATATAGATTAATTTGGGGAGAATTGACGTCTTAATGATAATGAGTCTTCCAATTCATGAGCATATTATCTCTTTCCATTTTTTTAGGTCGTCTTCGATTTCTCTCAGCAGTGGCTTTGTAGTTTTAAGTATACAGATCTTACGTATATTTTTAAAAATTTATGCCTAAGTATTTTGTTTTTTATGCTATTATAAATGGAATTTTTATTTCATTTTCCAATTGTTTGCTGCTAGTATTAAAATACAATTGATTTTTTATATTGATCTTGTATTCTGCAATCTTGCTAAATTCACTTATTCTAGTTGTTTTGTAGATTCCTTAGGTTTTTCTCTGTAAGCAATCACGTCATCTGCAAACAGAGATCGTTTCACCTCTTCTTTTTTGATATTTATACCTTTTTTTCCTTGCCTTATTGCACTTGCTTCAACCACCAGTACCATGTCGAATACAGTGGTGAGAGTGGGCATCCTTAGCTTCTTCCTGATTTTAGGGGGAAAGCATTCAATATTTCACCATTAAGTTGGATGTTAGATTAGACTGTTCATAGATGCCTATTATCAGATTAATAAATTCTCTTCCTAATTTAAAAAGGGTTTAAAAACATCAGTGGCTGTTGAATTTTGCCAAATACTTCTTCTATATATATAGAAATGATTTTATGGCTTTTCTCCTTTATTTTCTTAAGATGGTAGATTACATTGATTATCCCTTATTGTCCTGAAATAAACCCAACATCGTCATGATGTATTAGGCTTTTTATGTATTGCTTGATTTGATTTGCTAACGTTTTGTTAAATATTAAGGAATATTAGTCTGTAATTTTCTTTTTTTGTAATGTCTTTTCAGGTTTTGTATCAGAGTACACAAAATTCATAAAATGAGTTGGGGAGTTTTTTCTCTTTTACTTTCAGGAAGAATTTGTGAAAGATTGCTGTTCTTTCTTTCTCAATTGTTTGATAGAATACACCAGTGAAACTATCTGGGCCTGCAGTTTTCTTTGTGGGAAGTTTTTGATAATTTAATTTCTTTAATAAAAATATAGATATCAGAGTTTGTGTTTTATCTTGTGTGAATTTTGATAAGTTGTCTTTTTTTAGGAATCTGCCCATTTTGTCTAAGTTATTGAATTTATTGACATAAAGTTGTTCATAATATTCCATTATTATCCTTTTGATGTCTGTAGAATCTGTAGAATCTGAAATCCCCTCTTTTACTGTTAACATTGGTGAATTATGTCTTTTTCCTCTCTTTTGTTTCCTTATTTAATCTACCTAAGGGTTTAGCAATTTTGTTAAATTCTTCAAAGAACCAATTTTTGACTTTGTTAATTTTCTCTGTTTTGTTAATTTTCTGTTTTTTTCTATTTCATTGATTTCTATTGCATTGCTGATATCTTTATTATTTCCTTCCTTCTACTTATTTTCAGCATATATTACTTTGCTTTTCTCTTTCTAGCTTCTTAAGATGGAACTTTACCTACCTTTTCTTTTCTTTTTTTTTAAATATATATTTTTAAATTTTTCGTTAATTGCAGTAACATTGGTTTATAACATTGTATAAATTTCAGGTGTACATCATTATACTTCTATTTCTGCATAGATTACATCATGTTCACCAC